TTTCAAATAATCGAAATAACACAAAATACCTGAAACGAGGAATATCCGACCCGTTCGAGTGGTCTCACAGGTTAGGTTAGGTGACATGCTCACTTGTCCTAAATCCGTTCGCGTTACTGAACATTAGAACACATGAATGCAATTGTTCCAATTGCCACCTTATCTGTGATCTAAGTACCCTCTGGGTTAATTTGGAGCATGCGACGCGAACAAACCTGATATATCCAACTTGTAGCGTCAATTTATGATTTTCAATTATTACATTATAGAATCAGCTTTATAGCGAGTTTTAGGTTAGGAACATAAATCTCTGATATCGTGCGTATTAAATGTTAACTGTATCTATTAATTTAATATTTATATTTTTATTATGTATATATTTACTCGAAACCATAAATTATCATAAAACACGTTATTCTTCTTCTTCTTCGTTAATGATTGGCCCTGGTTTCGGAGTAAACGTAACTAATTGTATTCCCAAAAGGAAGTGAATCGGTCATCTCAAACCAATAGATTTCTCGAAAATTGTGAATACTGCAAACAGTCGAAAATGGTGAATGGAGGTTTTGGAATTTCTTAATTCCTTAATACTAGAATCATCTGACATAGCATATGTTTAAATAATATAAGAGTTTGATTTTATTCCCTTCTCTTTCTTCTTATTTTATTTTAATTCTTCTTATTTTAAGAAATTTTACATATTAAGGTATTGGGACGGAATGAATTCTTTATCTCTCACTTACATCTAATATTTTCCCTTCAATTGATTTAACTATTTTTCAGTCAGATCAATGCATCATTTTAATAAAACTACCTTTCAAATACTGCGTTTACGATCATGATATCACGCGACCAATATTATAAATCGGTAATGAGATTCGCATTTCGTGAATCTCATGTTCGCCTGACGAAACATACATTATAGTCGCGGTAGTTTTAAGAATTAAGTAAGAATTAAGAATTAAGTAATTAAGTAAGAATTAATAGTGTACAATGGTCTTGATATGCACCAGTGCACGTTGGTATTCCCAACCGAAATCGCTATAAATATTTGACTCGTACATTATTAAATTCATGATTTTTTTATTACATAAATATTCCATAAATAAATATGCATACTTGTAAAGCTATAATATCCTATATATTGTAAAAAAATTACAATTATTTTCTCTGCAGTTATCATCTGTTGATGTCAAACTTTGACGATAACACTGAAATCACAATTAAAAAAAAATCGAATATTATGACTACTAAATGCATAAATACGTCTATTAATAAATAAAATTAGTATAATATTATCAATTTTTTTAACTCTTCAATATTCACAAGAACATGAACTGCCGTAAGGATGTCGGTCTTTAATAATATCTCATCGGTGATAATGCTGGCGGTCAGACGTAACATTCAAGAAGTTTTTGCCGGTCAAACATCTTGGATAGTGCTTAATGCCGACAGTGCTGTAACTTGCAAGCTTTACAATTCGAAAAGTACTTAATGAAAATGAACTTAATTATAGTGTTTTGGAAAGCTCTCGAGATAAGCTACAAAAATATGCAATGAATGGGATTCCATTTAAGAAATTGATGATGACCTCTTTACATAATCTTTAAACAACTTTCCAAGATCAAACCAGTAGCACTTATGTCTCCCTCCAAACCTATAACTTTTGTCTGAAAAACATTTTTCTTTAAAATGCACTTCAAGAGATATTTTAATGCGTCAATTAAAATAATACACCCTGTATACAGGGTGTCTCGTAAGTTTTTACCAAACTCTT